ACTGTCTCTAGAGCCTAGTGCCACAGGGAGAAGCGGTCATGAACACATGAACCGCTTCAACTATGCCAGCATGTGCCCCGAACAAGGGCAACAGTAGCCGTGCCCAGAACGAACTGCAGGGCCCGAGAGGCCGAAAACTGAGGCCGCTCGACTCGAGGCATTTTGGCCTTGTTAGATCGATTCGAGCACACGAACAAATTCCAGAGGTAGAATTTTGCCATGCGAGGACGAGGACCTTCGACCGTTTGACCGTGACAGGGTTCAGCACTGTGGCGAGAACACCGCGGCGCAGAACCGACAAGTGCAGCAAAAGTATCGCGTCGGCGCATTGTTAGAAGGACAAAGCACAAGACGTGAAATTGGCAAAAGGTGCAGCACGCAGAGCTCAGCGACCGAGAAAAGCAGATCTACCGACGCAGGGACTGCAAGCGGGGCCAACTGCAGTTTTCCTTACAACCAAGAACGTCCACGAAGCAGCCTGTGCAGCTGCGTGACACCTGGCTCTAAAAAGCTCCGGCACGTTCTCAGGTGCACTCCACCGCTCTCCCGCCTATGCCGACATCGCCCTCCAGGACTCCCAGTGAGGGTTGTTCTGCTTGGACAGCTGCTTAAGCTTGTCCTTCACCGTCACTGTGCTGCCGGCAGGCTTGGCGCGCTCCCAAGCCTCCTCCAAGCCCTTCTCCTAAGTGGACATGCTCTCATGTCTTAATGCGTCTAGACCGCCCAACTACCTAGTCCATGTTCTTTGGAGCTCCTTGAAGAAACAACCACCTACTGTCATCACATCTTTCACTAGCAAACAGAACTGTTTCCGAATCAGCTAGGGTGTCATAGTCATCAGGGTTGATGAGGCCATCAAGGGGATCCTTGGAATTGGCGAAGAGGGGATGCTCCCTCCAAGCTTCGTCGAGCTCCCTGGCGCGCTTGGTTCCTGGGACAATGCGCCAGAAGGCATCCTCCTGGAAGGAGTACAACACGAACATGCCCATCGCCACTGCAGGGAAGACAAGGGTTGTCAAAGGCACCAGCACTGCCGCGAACTTGCGCTGGTCTCCGTACTTGGCCTCGGCATCCTCTGCCAACATGGTCAGTGCAGGCAAGGCCGCGGAGGCAGCAACCGCAGGATTGAAGTCGGACTTGGCCCTGGGAGACTCAGAAGGGCTCGGCACGAAGCAGCAACGCAGCGCGAAGAGCAGCGCAGCTGCTGCAAGAAGGAGGCGTCCCGGGCGAGCCATGGCAACCACTGCAACAGAGGCTTGGAACA